CATTTTGGAAAACAAAATGGCGGGCGCGACGCATGTGGAGGCCAAAACTTGCAGCGGCGGTGGCAGGTGGCGGCAGCAGGCGGCGGTGGGGGCCGGTAAGCGGGGGGCCCGAGTCAGAACTGGGCTGCAGGCCGTAGGTTGCCAACCCCTGCATTAAACCTTCTCTGTCAGAGAGCTCTGGTGCCACAATAAACTACAGTTCCCATGATTCCCTAGCACTGAGTCAGGACAGTTAAAGTGGACTCAATTTGCACTATTTCTGGCAGTCTGCAAAGGCCCTAACTTGAGTCTTACTTCAGCACTGGAAACTTTTGTAAAAAGAAAGTTGGTTGAGAGCTAGAACATACTGTGTAATTTGGCCCTGAATTACAGCTTTATTGCTTTTTTAAAAAAAAGTTACTGGGAAAGGATATATTTTAGTCATAGGTCAAGAAAAATGGTTGTTTCCAATAAATAAATGCTACTTAAAAGAGTGGTCCATGAACTACTGCTGGTCTACAAGCCATCAGCTGCCAGACTGGCACATTTCCAGGAAACAACATGAATACAATAATAATGTAAGACAAATATGACACTGAATCATGGCACATTAGGGGGAAATACCTGTCCACTACATCAGACAGCTTGAAAAGCATTGGCATAACCTTTTTAAAAATGCTTTTGTGAATTAGCAGAGCAAAGTTACATAATGAAATTGGAATGTGTGCAAACTTACATTCACCTATAAGTCCATACTATTCATTCATATATAAAATTATATATTGTGCATTGGCAGCTGCAAATGTTGCTATACATGCCACATTCTTATATATAATACCTGAGGGGTAATTTCCATTTTACAAGCTATGTGTACAAGCTATACTTGGGAAAACCATGAAACTCAGCACAAAGGTTTAGGATCAGAAGTTGTCAGACATCAGTTAAAGAAATGCATTTGAATGACACTGTTTTCAGAAATATATTTACTGAGATCTAATGGAAGACACATTTGTAAAAATAACAGTTTTCAAAGAGACAGCTGTCTTAGTCTTTCAATTTAAAGGAAGAAAAAGAACTCATTGACACCTTTAACCAATTTATTCTGCATAAGGTTTTGCATCCTACAGTCCAGTTCTTTAGATGCATGGAGTGCATCTAGGTAGACATTGCATGGAACATTAATTAAGCAAGCAAGACGCTTAGAACCTGATCCTGGTTGCCTACATCGGCTTCATATGGTGCATCTGAAGAAATGGGCTGTAACCTATTAAACCTTCATCTTCGTTAGTCCAAAGATATCACATTTTTTTCTTTCCCTTTGTTATATTTTTTGGAAGTTCAGTATAGCTAATTTTCTGTTGTTTGCAATCCATGTTGCTTGCAGCCATTTGTACACATACTTATTCAGAAACAAATCGCAATGAGTTTGAAGGATCTCACTCTCCCAAATTAAATGTGCAGTGAACTGCAGGGAAGTGTGTGTGCGTTGTATGCCCTCAAGTTGTTTCTGATTTATGACAACCCTAAGGCAAACCTATCATCAGGTTTTCTTGGCAAGATTTTGTTCAGAGGAGGTTTGCCATCGCCGCCTCTTGAGGCTAAGGTCACCCAGTGGGTTTCAATGCTGAGCGGGAATTGAACCCTGGTCTCTGCAGTCATAGTCAAGTGCTCAAACCACTATGCCACACTCGCTCTCCATGTGCATAACTATAATATACTAATATCCAGGTTTATTCTTGCTCCTTAACTGCAGTAGTTATTTCCTGAGCCTTTCCTCTAAACATTTTCTTTCATTTCAGCTTTCTAATTTTCATCTGTCTATGCTGTTTTATGTCTTTTAAATATTTTTTGAAAATTACTACAAAGTTGGTGGTTTGACTACAGTTATCCCTCCACATTTGCAGCTTTGATTTTTGTGGTTTATTATTCACAAATTTGATGAATACGTTCTGTCTAGGACTCTCTAGGTCAGGGGTAGGCAACCTTTCCCCTTTAAGAGCTGAGGGACTTCAGCTCCCAGAATCCCAGGAGCTATTGGCCAACATGGGACTATTGGCCAACATGGCTGAGGCTTCTGGGAGCTGAAGTCCCTCAGAACTTAAAGGGGAAAGGTTGCCTACCCCTGCTCTAGGTCCTCCTGGGAGACTTTATGGCCAACACCCACCAGGAGTCATGCTAGACTAGAGGACCTACAAAGAACACTTCTCTAGGTATCTATAGGTCCTCCAGCACAACTCTATGGTCAACTCCTGACAGATGCTGACCAAAAACTTGTGCTGGAGGACCTAGAGATTCCTAGAGATGTGTTCTTTCAGGTTAAAAAAAACAACATTTTTTTTTGCAGTTTTTCCACTTTCATCAAGGCCCAGCATCTCTAAACCAATGAATGTGGAGGGCCCATTGTACAGTATCTGCTGAGATTTGTTTCAAGCACCCACATGGATACCAAAATCTGTGAATGCTCAAGTCCCATTAAGTACAACAGCACTGTAGGAGGATTTCCCTCATATAAAATGACAAAATCAAGCTTTTGAAATTTATATATATTCAAAATATTTTCAAACTGTGAATGTTTGAATCCATGGATAAAAAAACCTGTGGATATAAAGGGCTCATTTTTCCATGTAGTAAAGTATATCTCCTTCTATGGTTAACATTATTGAAATGTGGTTACCCTGAGTCTAAGGGGGGGTTGCAGACTGCCAGAAATAGTGTGAATTCAGTCCACTTTTAGGGTTAGGGTTAGTGCTAGGGAATCATGGGAACTGTTATTTTCCTGAGACATTGAACCTTCTCTGTCAGACAACTCTGGTGCCACAATAAAATACAGTTCCCATGGTTCCCTAACTCTAACCCTAACCCTAAAAGTGGACTGAATTCACACTATTTCTGGCAGTCTGCAACCCCCCTAAAATGATTTTTTTTTTACAGGAAGCTTAGCATGGGGTTAGGGAGTTGTGTAGTAGAAATATTCACAATGCTATGCAATTTCCAACAAGGTAGCCATATTAATCTGTTGCAACAAAAACAGAATCTTGCCCATTTTAGAAACAAATTTACAATTGTATGAACTTTTATGGACTACATTCTGTGTCTTCCAATTACAAAGTTTTGTTGCTGTTTACACTAAAAATATTTAGTTAAAAAAAAAGAAAACTCAAAGTAAACAACTCCAACTTTACACTTAATTTGAATTTTATTAAAAAAAAACATTCTAACATGTCCTTTTAAAATACTGGTTGGGATCCAACAAACTACTTTAACTACTTTTTTTTATTTCTTAGTTCAAACAGCTTCATCTCTCACTTTATCTTATGATAGCTTCCACAAGCAAAGAGAATATCAAGGTGCTGCATGGCTGGACTGTACTTCAGCTAACAAAGTAAATGTGTCCCTGGGCATTACTTCTTTAACAGAAAATTTGTTACCAGAGACAGAAATAAAATGGAATGAATAAGGATAGATTCCTACACCACCAAACAGTAACTTCCCGTGGGGGTGTGGACCACACCGGGTAACACCTGGTGACTCTGCCCTAGCCTTCCTTGGGGGTGCATGGGGCTTCTTTGTGCCTTCCCAGGCCTGGTGGCTCTGTCTTAGCCTTCCTTGGGAGAGTGTGGGGCTGCTCCATGCTGGAAGCTTCGCCCCCATGAGCGACCAAACCGGGTGACACCAACCACCATAAACATGTTTCAGCAAATTCTGCATTCAAAATATGTATGTGTGAAATGAAAATAGCCAGGTCAGGTAAGCATAAGTAAAGAAAAACATTTTGAATCCTTGAGAAACCACTACACCAAGCATTTTTTTCTTTCACTTATCTCCACTTTTTGTGATTTCCATTTTGAAAACCAAAGTTATAGATGCTTCTTTAACATGATGGGGTGGGGGTGGGGTGAAACATGCTTGTCTGCTTTCCTCTTTTCTTTCTTTTTCTGTCCAACATGCTCTGTAAGTGATTGGAGAGACAGCTGCTGTTTAGCCTGCCTGTTGTAGGCAAACACACACAACTAAGGTAGGACCCGCTGGAGCAGAATCCCATTATTACCCAGTACAAACTTTTATTGCATTGTTTACTTTCAAAATACTGTTGCAACCTAACACTAAAAGTGTGTTTCTCCGGCCCTTCTTCAACATCTTCCCAATGCTATTGCTACAAAAAATTTCCAACTAGACAGAGGTCAAGGAAGAAAAGTGGGGTTGGTAACACGTAGAAAGGAGCTTCTTTGTCAGAGGCTTTGTTAACTGAGGTATGGCTGCAATGGCTTTTGCTCAATAGGTTCAAGGCCTAATGGGATTAATCCTAATATCCATGTTCTGTCAAGCCTGCTGACCTAAGACTTACAGCACATTCCTATAGTCTAGGAAGTTCTCTTGTACAAGAAATATTTCAAATCATGGATAGATCCAAATCAGCCTGCCTGAGGTCTCAGGTGGGCCCTCTGAATTTCACCAAATGGTGATATACCATCATTGGATTGTTTTCCTTTCTTTCTGCAGCTTTTTTCACATTCTAGATGGTTGACTCCAATGATTCCCCTAAGATTTAGGTTTAGGCGGTAAGAATTTTAACTTGAAATAATGCTAGTATTTTTGGTCTTACTGTTTGGACTTCTGCTCCACTTACCACTCCAATGAAACCCCAGCAATTCCAGCCCTTGTGATGAAAATGGTTCTCTATCCTTCCTTTAGATCAGGGTGGGAATTATCTAGATGTTGTTGGACTGTAATTCCCAGCATTCCTTACCACTTGCTATACCGGCTAGGGCTGTTGGAGCTGCAGTTCACCATACGAAGGGCTGTGCAATTCTCACTCATGTTCTAAATCAATGACTTATATTGTACATTAAGAAAAATTCCTAATGGATTGAGTCATTGTTGTACAGAGCACCCACGCCATATGTGGGCTTACCATAGGCAGCTTTGAGCTTACTCGTACAGCAAGCCCAGGAGGACAAAATGGCATGTGCACCACAAGCTGTATGGGGCGCCACACACAGGAGTGTGCCACCATAGAAATGAATAGGATTTAAACATACACGTTTTATGTTTTCCCCTATACATGGGGGGGGATACACGAGGGGAGGGGATTCCAGAACGGATCCCCCCATATGCCAAGGCCCACTGTACTGTATTCTCACTGTCCAGCATAACAAAATAGCACATTAATCCACTTGTACTAGTGCTGGTTTCTAAACCAAGTCAAAACAGCCACTGTTGCTTGAGCTCTCTCACTATGGACAACTCAGCATACAATGCATGAAGTTTCAGGTGACAACAATACACCTTTTGTGTGGTATCTGAAGAGGCAGATAATTAACTTCATCAACACAGGCCTATATAATAAGATTATCAGCCACAGTATCTTCTGGCAAATGGGGGAATGGTTTCACAGCCCTAACTTGCTTGCCAAAAAATACAAACATATCAACCACAGAGGCTCAAATTCCTTTTGTATTGCCACAGATTAATGCAAGCCTAAATAGCAAAGAGTCTGAAAAGTTATACATGTCAATCTCATATTCCAAAACACAGATATCCATATCATACAATTTTACATTTATTTCATATCCACTGAAATATATGAGTACTTATGCTTTATTTTTTCTTCATTCCAATCCAATGATCCGAAATCCAGCCAAGACACAGAAAAGACACATTCACAGCCCTCAGGTGGAGGGGATAGAGAAGTTGAAGGAAATCCAGTAGCATGACACTTCTCACTATGCTGACAAGGGAGGTTTTAAAACAGAATAATTCTCTAGAATAGAATAGAAATGTACTCATCTTGAAAGGTCGTATCAGAGATGAGAAGGCATTCATCTTCAGGACTGAAAGCATTATTTGAGGGGTACTCATCTCTAATCTTTTCAATCTTTCATTTTACCAGGGAAAAGAAAAATGGATTGGTCTGCTCTAGATGATGCATCCCTACAGTACCTCAGTTCTTACCACTCTTCCATAATCAAGTTACAATGAGAGCGATCCCAGAGGCTTTCAATTATTACAATATAGACAGTTGGGAAACAGTAAAGGTCACAAGAGATTACAGCCACAGCAGTGCCTTCCAGATGTACTGGACTACAACATCCTTCATTCCCTGGCAATATAGCTAACAGTCATACCAGCTAGGAATGACAGGACTCTCAGGCCAATCCATTCATGTCAGCCCCAGGTTGGCCACCGAACTTTAACAGCAAAAATTAACTCATTTGCCTCATAAGGCAGGAATGGCTGGAATGAAACAAAAAGGGACACAGAAAGAAATAAAGAGAGAACATCAAGAACACATCTTCTATTTCTGTGCTTTAATGAATTAATTCTAAAACAAGAGTGAGCCTACAACTCAAAATGTCTACATTTTTGAAAAAAAAATTACCTGTTTTCCTCTCCACAGCAACTACAGTGGAAGGAAGCAATATAAGTTATGAAACCAACCCAAGATATAGCAATCCTCTGCATCTCTGCATATCATTGCATATTTGTTACTTTAAAATTAGCTCAACTAAAAGATCTTAGAGGAGTGATGCTAGTTTTCAGAAACTTAGCTTAGCTATTTAGCAACAGAAATGATGAAACAGAATTCTGAATGCTTTAATGTAAGCAACACTTTTTAAGTTGCATGAATCAGATTTACACCTTTCCCTACACCAAACAGGCACATGGTAGGTTCTTTCCTGCTTTTGCCTTAT